TCAGACAGGATGCGTCGCATGGGGGGTTCTTCCTTTAGAATCAGCTGACATGTCCCATAGCCTATCCCAACAATGTCGACCAAGTCGTTGATGGTACGACGTCGATCTTCGTGAATGGCCTGCCGAATCTTCGTACCATTTTCGGGCGTTGTGCTCGAAGATGGTCGTCCAGAACGCTCGTCATCATGGACAGAGGTTCGGCCCTTTTTAAAACGTGAATGCCACACAAAAGTTTGTGCACGACCCATTGCGGACTCCCCAAATGCTTGCTTTAGCATTTCATAGGTTTCCGTAGCCGTTTTGGCGAGTCTTTGGCCAAATTTGATGCACACGCCATTCCGAAATCGCAGGAGGGTCGGTGTAATGCACTACCAAAACGCCCGTAACTAAGAAACAAATGCTAATTCGACGATGCCGGCTGGCACACTGATTCACTATGAATGTATGCCGCACCCCTTAGCGGCAGAAGCTCGTACTACATCCGGTTCGCCCTCTATTGACACAGTCTTGAAACTTTCCGATCGCACCTCGTTCATCTCTGTGTTTGGCTTGCTTATGAAAACTGAAATGTTGTCTTTAAATTTTGACCTGAAATACACCGTTAAATTGGCTCCCAGGAGTGATAAGACATGTACACCGTACAAGTACTCTTAGCAGCTGTTTGTATGCAATGCACTGTTATCAGGAAATAAATGTACTTGTGAAGCTGAGTCACAGAACACACTCAAAATTCACACGTACTAACTCTAGAGGGACTACACGTTTTGTGTACAAAGCTGAGTCCAACTGCTTTTTCCCCTTAAGGTGGCGACTGACTTGTAACATTTACTCGTAATGTAACATTCGCGGCGAGCATGTTACATTACACCACAACTGGTGAGGCGCATCGAATGCTCGTTTTGAACGCTCGGCTCGACTGTGCTCGTGTGTGCTCCATTCATTTCGTTCAATATGTCGGACGTGGAGGTTGTGTTATCTTTGTTCCATTTAAAACGCTACTCTTATCTAAAGAACTCGTGAAAGCTCGTACGACGCCGCTCGACTGACTGACTGACTTGTAACGTAACACTCAAAGGGATTCGCGAAAAAACCGACAACACGATGGAGCGCCCGCGAGCGTGAGCGGCTCGCATCGAGCGGCTCCGTTCGCTGTCTTCACTTGTGTAATGCTCGATTTGTAACACGTTACATTACAGGCAAATGTTACAAGTCAGTCGCCACCTTTAGATTTGTTTAATTTAGGTGGAATGACCCTGCTGTACCACTGTCGAAGATGACACTCTTCTGGACTTGAAGTGGACATTGTGTCAGTGGTTTGGCACAATTCATGCATGTGTGTTTGTTTAAAGGACCCTTTCCACTGCTTTTCGTGTAGTCTGTTTCTAATAAGAGTTATCAATCATGCTTGGATTTTTCCTGTGTTCTTTGCAGGAGTTCTTTTTGACTGTGAAAGATGTGACAAGAAGTTCATCAGACAGAACACAAATAAGTTCTTATCAGAAATGGGAAAAAGATGAACTGGAATTAAATAAGAGATTCATTGCTGCAAAGAATTTTGTGCATGCGTCGTTGTGTGGTAAGATGGGTGTTTCATCTGTCATCCCTGCTAAAACCTTACCAATTCTCACTGAGAATAATCCTTATCACGATACAGTATCTGCAGATTCAAAATATATTTCTGCTTGGTGTAGTGGTCGCAGTAGTTTTTGGCTTGTGGAATATTAAAGGGGGAGGCTAGGAGCGAGTCACTTGTACGATAGTATAAGGTCTTGTCTGCCTCCAGGAAGGACGAAGAGCTTATCAGACTGAATGCCCAAACAAAACAAATACACTGACCTTGCCTCCTCAAGTACAGGTCCGTCCGCTAGCTTCTGCGCCGGCCAAAAACTACTGTGCCTGCTATGACATATTTTACGTTCAGAACTTATGTAATATTTCGTGAGAGATTGTAGAATTTGACGAAGGATTTACTTTTGCTTCTGTAATAAATATAAAAGTCGTGCCTCCAGTTGCACTCTTAGAGACTTTCCCGTCTTCTCTCCACCTGCCAACAAAGAAGGATTTACGTCCTTGTAGGACAGGATGATTTTAAAGCCTACAATTTTATGAGGGCACCAAACTAATTTGGATTCTGGTGTTCCAAGCTTCTCATTGACAGAGAATAAAGACTATTCCTTTATTGAAGATGTCCGTCTTCTGGGTTATTGCGCTGTGTAGTCTGGTCGATGTTAACCAACGTTTCAGAGGTCATACTGCCTCCGTCATCAGGGCGATCGCCCTGATGACGGAGGCAGTATGACCTCTGAAACGTTGGTTAACATCGACCAGACTACACAGCGCAATAACCCAGAAGACGGACATCTTCAATAAAGGAATAGTCGACATTTGATGTGCCTGGTTTCATATCCAAAATATTTAGCACAGAAGCCCTCTACAGGACTGTATGAGATCTTATATTTAAATACGGTACTTACGTTTGCGTGTAGCACTGCAGTGTCTCTTGGATCATACTGTTATATAATTAAGCAGTTTTCTGTGAGCTCTTGGAATTGGATGTGTTTTTTTTATTGCGGTAAGTATCGTATTTGCAAGGTAGTTATTATTTTTGTCAAAATAAGATCCTAAAAGGAAATAATAAAATTAAGGGATAACAACAGTTGAAGCAACGCAGCCACGTCATATGACGTTCGGAATGTTACTGACGGTTGAGAAAAGTTGGAACTTACATTGCGCACATTTAAATCACATCTAATATGGCAGAGTTTCGAAGCTCTAACACTTATGTAACAAGCTAACAGAACTTACTTGTTGAATGCACCTTGTAAATACAGCAGGGTATATTTAATAATCACTACCTGTTGATAATTCATGTTGCTGGTCCAACGTTCTCATGAATCTAAGGCACAGACTTTACATTAAAAAGCATGAACATAGAAGTTGTACATTGTTCAATGAAATAAATCTTGGGCAATCAGCCACGTCAAATGGTTACACGAAGAAACCGAATTTTCAGAAACCATCTCTGTCCCCATCGTCAGGATTCTGACGTGACTGGATGCAACAGTCATCTCCTGTAAGTACCTGTCTGGGACCGGTCCTCATGGCTGGACCCCGGCCAGTCAGAGGTGTTGCGGCTGATTGCTCGAGAGTGTTTTTCGTAGTCGCACGTTTTAGATTTTGTCCAATACTTTCAGATAACGTGGATACTCGAGGTGCATTGGATGCAGTCAGGGATCTGATTGGAAACTGCAACATTTATATTCGAGACAAAACATCTTCCACACAGGAGAGTAACTGCCTGCTGCTGAGAGATATAGCCGCCTACGTTACGTGGCTTTTGCGAGTATTTGGGGCCATCTCTACAGAGGAATGTATCGGCTTTCCAATAGCTGAATCTAAGGGCGCGACAAATGTAAGCATTGCGTGGGAACAGTATATAAGTCTTTGTCGTCGTTGATGTGAACTTCACATTGGACTTCTTTCGTTTAAATGTTTTAGATGCGTTTATGATAAATATGTATTTGTCCTTTATCAATGATTCTTGACCAGAGAATCCTCCACATTTATTTAAAATATTCAGAAAAACAGGATTTGTAAAGGAAAGAACACTGCCCACAAAGTTGTAAATTGTATATATATATTAGTATGTCTCTGTGTTTATAGCAGGTACACAGTCACGTGATATCTTCAGCGGAAAATTAATTTTTTACTTTAAATTATCGGCGTTGAGAATTTAAATAAATTTAGATAACCTGAGGACAGAGTAGATGGAACTTTTGTGTTCACAACAAAAATTGCGTGCTTGGGATTTAAACTATCGCAACTTTCACAAGTATAATAATATGTTAAGATTTTGTTGTCATGTCCTGTAATGTCTGTAGAATATGAGGGTGTGATTTAGGTTACCTTAGGAATTCAGCGTAGTGTAGCAGTCTTCGAAGCATGCAGCCCATAAACACCACATGCATAAAGGTGGCGACTGACTTGTAACATTTACTCGTAATGTAACATTCGCGGCGAGCATGTTACATTACACCACAACTGGTGAGGCGCATCGAATGCTCGTTTTGAACGCTCGGCTCGACTGTGCTCGTGTGTGCTCCATTCATTTCGTTCAATATGTCGGACGTGGAGGTTGTGTTATCTTTGTTCCATTTAAAACGCTACTCTTATCTAAAGAACTCGTGAAAGCTCGTACGACGCCGCTCGACTGACTGACTGACTTGTAATGTAACACTCAAAGGGATTCGCGAAAAAACCGACAACACGATGGAGCGCCCGCGAGCGTGAGCGGCTCGCATCGAGCGGCTCCGTTCGCTGTCTTCACTTGTGTAATGCTCGATTTGTAACACGTTACATTACAGGCAAATGTTACAAGTCAGTCGCCACCTTAAGTCATTCACAGTCACTGCTTTCTAAGGCAGCGCCAAACACGTTTCCTTGAACACGTTCTGCGTTATGATTGGCATCAGTTAGTACCTGTATCTGTCAGAATATGTTATTAAAAATAAACAAGTATTTTCCAAATGGAAGTTCCCTGTCCCTTATAATTTAACGCGGAAATCGTACTGAGAAGCCTGGAGGGAACCTTGCTGTTTACAGACGGATGTACTTCGCTACCGCCGTGTTCGTCTGTCTCTAGTTTTCACACTGGAAATATTTAATCGTGTATTAGCCATACCAAATTTCCTCTTGTGTTTCTGTGGAATTGAGACATGTGGGCAGTGAATGGGGCACAGACTGTTCTATCAGAACAGCACTGCCATGTCATTATGCCATAAGCAGGCGTCTGAACTGCAAAGTACTCTTAATAACGCCATAGCTGAGACTATACAGCAACCGTAGCGGTGATATAGTGGGGAGTGTCCCTTATCACGGCAGATTTATTTGGTTCAATTTTACTGCTGTTGGCTGGCACGATCTTTAACTCGGTATGTCCTCGGCTAATTGAGGTTATTTCTGAGCTAAAAAAATGGAAATATGGGGCTCCTGATAGTTAAGGTGGCAAGTCTTATGGTCCCATGAAGAGATTGCCAATTATTCCTGCCAAAAAGATTAATTGTGAACTGATGTCTCATTGCTGCATAATGTTGCCTTGTTGTGGTAAAGTTTTTTATTTGTTGCGTGTATTTAGAATTGTCCTATGTATAGCTGTTTCTTTTCTGTGCCTCCCAGTGGAACTGAACTTGGTAACTGTTGTCTGATAATCAGTGAAGTCCACAAGAAATAAGTTTATCATCGCTATAACGACAGGCAGAAGGTGGAAGTAATTGCTGCTTTAAAAAATTATGTTTACTTATACAACAAAAAAGTGGGTATTTTCCGTTCAACTTTTTTGTATTACGATTCGTGGTAAGCGTAAGGTAATGAATGAAGAGAATTGCTTCCAGACAGAAGAATTGGTAATGCCGTACCTGACGATCATGGCCGACTTCCGAGATAATATCCGCGGCCACGCTCGACAGCTGAAGGCGACCGATATTTTGAGAGAATGTGATCGGTTGCGTGATGACATTTTACCAAATATTGGAGTCAGGCTGGAAGATAGGGAAGGTAAGTAAGCTGTTTTTTTGTGTGCGCACGTATGCATGAGACGCGCACATGAATGTAAGTGAGCTGAACGGAGCCTGCATTCCCGTGAACATTCTCTTCACTTGCATTAGCTTGGCTTTCAGATGTGTCATCCAGTGAAAATAGCTTCACATTGCAGTAAACTCTGAAGCATTGGTACAGTCATTCATTTATATTCTTACAAAGACCATTTGCAATCTTACATCACGAGCATATAATAACAAGACTGGGAAGGTACTTGTTTAATATTTCTGACATTAAGCAGTGTTCTGCAACCGGTGTGCCTCCAGAAGGATTCGGGTGTGCTACGGTTAGAAGAAAGCAGTATCTGATCTTTCATAATTAGAATTCATGAGACACACACAAACTGGTTTGTCGTGGATACTTTTATTCAACATGTGTTACGTTTTGTTCTCATATGCTTGCATTCTTATAGGGCAATTATTTATATGTAGCGAGGCAAAGTTGTTGTTTTTGTGTCTTTAACAAGTTAGGGTGTAGTGAGAGTGAAAAATTGTAAAACTCTGTACTAAAGGAATCCATAAATTGCATAAAGTAACCTTTCTTGACGATTATTAAATTTATCAAAGAAATATACAATGCATTTGATTCATTCATTTCTCTCAGCTTTCTGAAATATGTTCAAATTTAATATAGAGTGATAATAAAAGTTGTTGAATATGGACTGCAGCTGAACGTCTCTTGGGCTGTGTACAGAATAAATGTCTTTGAAGTCTGTATTCTGACTCGGTCACTTGGTTCAGAAATCTGCTACTGCTGAACGGAAGTTTCTTTTCCTGTGCAGACGAAAGCGTTTATCACCGTATAATTTCTCTTGTCAGGTGGTCCGTCAGCAGTGAAGCTGATGGACCGGGAATTCCTGATGCGTGAGAAGGAGGCGAAGAAAACTGCAGAAGCAGAGAAAGCTGCCGAGAAGGAGCGTAAGAAGGCGGAACAAGCAGCAATAGTCGCCCAACGTGATGCACAGAGAAAAATCAAACCTTCAGAAATGTTTCTGTCAGAAACAGACAAGTATTCACAGTTTGATGTTAAGGTATGCTACTTCATTTTAATAGACGTAGCTAGAAACTTTTTGACAAACCTATAACACAATAGAGCACAAAGCAATGCGAGTGCATAAAATATTGCAAGAAGATCAGAAAGGCAGTGACTGAATTTCACTGTTTGGTACAAATAGTATTTGGAGATGCAACAGTGAGGCAGGCACAAATTTTGAATGGATCCGTCACTGTAAGGTGGAGGATACTGTCCATCAGAGATACGAGTGTCCTGGATGCCCTTCAGCCGGGATAAATGACGACTCGGTTCTGTCTTGAAGATGTAGACAAGTTCCTCCTCTTGTATGGAACCATTACCCACAAGAAGACACTCAAAATTTTCTCCGAATTTGTCTCATCTTAGATTCCAGTGAATACTGGATTTTCTAATGTAAGTACTCAGTAGATCATTAGTTTGTGGATGACTTTGTTGTTTTTGTCCCATCTTGTATTATGTTTCATAGTTTGTTTCCAATCAGAATAGTGTCTGACTATGGACTGGGTGACCGGGGTTCAATCCCCGGTAAAGGAAAGTTATCTGTGTCAAGACTGCTCCCACCCAGCCTCCTATCCAATATTCCGAGGGGTCCTGTCCACGGGTAAAGTGCTGCTAGGTTGTGATGCCACCTAGAGTCCGAGCGAGGACTGATTTTGGTCGTATGAGATGGACCCGTCCGAAGCACGCGCTAGAGAGGTGTCAGCTTGGTTTGTAGCTGGCTGTGTTTAGATCGGTGCATCATCGCAGCTGAGGCTGTGCGACCCCCACTACCACTGAACTCCCCTCTCTTGGCTTACACATCGCACATTTAGGTGCCACGACTGCTCGCGCGACCTCTGCTCATCCCTGTGGTGCACCAAGGTCAAGAACAAGTACAAGCTATACCGCCTCTCCCCCCAAGTGCCTCATAGCGTGTAGTGGGACAGCTTCAAGTTTGTAGTTTGTGTTTTGTTGTGTTTCTAGGGTGTTCCAACGCATGACGCTGAAGGAAAGGAACTGAGTAAAGGTCAGATTAAGAAACTACAGAAACTTCAACAAAACCAAGAGAAAAAGTACAGTGAATATCTTCAGTCCGCTGTGGTTAATGGAGTGGGAGATTTATGAAGAGAAGTATTAAAAAAAAATTAAAATTGATACAAGTCATATATAAGTTTTTGTGCTAATTTAAAAATTGTGTTCAAGATTAAAATTTACTAGAAGTCCGATCAGTTACGTCTAGAGATTTTTTTTGCTTTATAACGTTATGTTGATATATAGGTTAGTTATCGTAATTTTGGAAACTGTTTCCAGTGTTGGGAAAAGACAAGCCTTTGTATTAATCTGTGAAAGTGTTAAGAATGTGCAGAGGGTACAATAATCAGTAGTCATCGCTAGAACTTTCACTGGCTGCTTCTGCATTTGCTCTGGTGCCTTGATTGCTGATAAAAACTCCCCAGTACCTGCCCTCGTAAAAATCTGTCCGTCAGAATGAGTATTCAGCGCGACAAGGCTGATAATGTCCAGCATCAGTGTTACTCTGCTGATGATCAGTCTAGTGAATGAATCTGAGCTATTACGCGGTGTGTCCCAAAATTTTCCGGGCTGGTTTAAAAAAACACTTCGAGTAACTAAATTTTTATTGCGTATTCTAAATACATTCCATCTGCAGCAATACACTAATTACAATGATAATAACACTTTTCAAAGCATTGCTGAAAGTCCTTCTTAGGGATAGTCTCCAAGAAGTCGGTCGCAGCGTTTTGAATGTCTTCAGTGTCATCGGAACACGTGCCTTTCAAAAAATAGTCTCAAGGTGACAAATCAGGCGAGTAAGAACCACGACACCTTTTGATGGCAAAAACTCACGAACGACGATGGCTTTTGTGAGCCGGGGCATTGTCGTGCAAGAGCGACCTAATGCCTTGTTCTCGATACCGTGGGCGAACTGTTCGAATTCTTGCCATTATTAAATGCTTTGAAACTTCCAAGTAATAGTTTCCATTGACAGTCGTGCCCTCTGGAACAAACTCAACAGATGGACCCAGCCTTTCGTGGGTAATTAAAGAAGTCTGAAAAATTTTGGGACGCACTGTGTATTTTAACAAAAAAAAATTTATCTATCATGTGTACGTAAAATGAGAATCATTCGTGTAAGGTTCTGTATTGTTTATCTGAAGGTAATATTTATATTAGATTTTTAGTGAACAAATAATTCAGCATCAGTGACAGAATTTTGTGCAGTGTGGTCAGTTTTGGGTAAGGAGAATTAAAAAAAAGAATTTCAGCGTTAATTTTTATTGCGGAATTTTGCAACTTGTGACTCACTGTGCACTCTTAGATTCGCTCTGCAGTCAGATCTTATATTTTATCTGTGGTTATAACGTGTAGGTCAGAATCTTCGCATGCGCTGAACGGTAGTTTCTGTGAGTGTGGGGATGAAAGACCCTTGCTGAGATTTATAACCTGTGCTTTGCGACCGGTGACCTTGGAACTGCTTTCAAAATTTTTGTTTCTCCTGTTAAATAAGAACCATTTCCCATTTTCTTATGGAGCGTGTTTCATTGCAGCAAGAAAGATTGAGGAGTTTTAAAGTGTGTCTAAATGAAAAATTCTCACTTTCAAACTCGTAGGGTTTTTTCTAACGTGCTGTCAAGTTTTTCCCGTCACTTTTTAATGATATGCAGTCAGCTTATTGACGCTGTATTGGTGTGCACATGACGCAAATTTGCTGGTTTCTCTTAGTATCTGAAGTTTTTATTTTACTGGAGTATCATGACCGCTAATTGACTGCACTGCAAAGCAATCTGTGCACGCATGTAAACATGAAAGAGTTGAAGCGTAACGTACGTGGCTCTGCTCCTATCTTTACTTCCCCTGTAAAGTCAGTGACATCTGACGACTAAGTTTCTCCGAGTTGAGCTGTGCAGTAACCGAGACATTTCACTGTAAGGACGGGCGCTAAAGGTTCCAAAATTGGCTGTGATAATCTGCTTATTTAGAACTGGCTGACTGAAGAATAATGAGTATTACAAGCCAACCTAATACATTGACCGTAGATCAGCACTCGGTTAGAAATACCCACTTTTTTTAAGAAGATTCTATTAACGAGTAACGAAGTCACATGTTGAATTATTACTGTTTTTAAAACAGAATTATAATCAGTAATTATAAAATTTCCTTTTTGATTTAAATGTTCACAGTAGAAATTATGTAATGTACCATTTTTCATATGTATTAGTCATGGGCCTTAAAAAGTAATGTTAAAAGTGAAACTTCGCTTGCCATATAAAATATTTGCAAGATTCTTGTAAGAAAGGCAATTATGTGTGTCTGCTGTTTTGAAGCAAATTGGAAAAGTACGTACGCTCCAAGTTTGTTGGACCGCTGGCCAACGGCAGGAGGGTATTCATATAACTTCTTAAGTGAATGCCTCGTGTATTTTTTATTAAGAAGTGTTGAAAAAATGAAGACGGTCGTCATGTGGGATTTTGCATCGCGTAGTCTGGTAGATACTGACTTGACGTTTCAGAGGAGCGTATCGCCTCGATGATGGAGGCAGTAAGCTCCTCTGAAAAGTCGGCGAGTAGCCGCCAGCATCCCAGAATATGGCGGCCATTTTCATACTTGATGCTGTTCGAGCCTGAAATCTGAAGCTGGGGTTAAAAAGTGTTTTGTGTTGCGAACAAAAGGTTCTTGTGAGATGAAACTGTTGTAGTGACGGAGCGTGCTGTTTGCAAAGATTTATGTATGTCCCTCTGCGGTAAAAATGTGTCTGTTTAACATTTGAAAGGACTGAAACTTAAAAGTATTACTAGATTCCAACACTTCATCCTTTACGTCAGAACTGCTGTGGTGCGTAATGAACTCGCGACTTTTATAATTATTATATATTTTAAAGTAGGGTTAAAATGTTATTTAAGGGTCTGCCAGCAATATACGTATCTTCCATCCGATTAAAAGTGATACTTAAATGTTTACAGTAGATTTCTATGTTCACTGTGAATTTTCTCATAATGTTACCTTTTTAATCAGGCTTGATAACATTTTAACTGATCGTAGGTGGAAACAACACGGACAGTATTTTTATTTAGAACGTACGGAGGATTTGACTAGGAAAATAAAAGTATCTTTAGGTTATGTGTGCGGGTGTTTCGTTTAGGATATTTCTGTTTTCGTATTTGCTACTTCATTCAGAAAGTTTCTGTTCGACCATGCAAATGAATTAATACAAAGCTGGGCGCAGATGTGTCATATCGAGTCTGAATGCACGTTAAATTACGCGCAGTGAAATCTGTTGGGTACCCATAAGAGCGAAGACGTTCCATATATGTAGTTGGATGTGTGATTTTATCAGATTTTAGCAGTCTTACATATGAAGTGCTTGAGTTCTGCCATCACATATTAACTTCGTCAAATGGGAATAGGGGAATTAAAGTTTACAGTTTACTGGTGTGCTACTGTGTTGCACAGACAATAAAGGTTAACTACGTGGATGGATTCAGTCTCCAAACAGGAGTGGATCTCTGTTCCTACCATGGAGTTAGATTTGAGGGCTATGTAGTGTTATGAGTCAGGAAAGAGGTCTGTCATTCTTATTCATGTAAATATTTATTGCAACAGATACAGCAAGTGTCCAGCTATTTTTCAACATATTCGCCACCGGAATTGAGACATTTGTCATACCGTGGGACCAACTTTTGAATACCTGTGTCGTAGAAGTCTGCCGCCTGGGATTGGAACCACTGTGTGACAACCATCTCCGCCTCTCTTTCATTCTCAAAACGCTGACGCTGACGCTGACCGGACAGGAATTTCTTGAGGTGTAGGAAAAGATGGAAATCACTGGGAGCGAGGTCCGGGCTGTAGGGTGAATGATTAAACACCTCCCAGCTGAACTTCTGCAGGAGACTTGCTGTCCGTCGAGCCGTGTGCGGCCTAGCGTTATCACTGACCGCACTTCACAGTCGGCGGGGGCTGGAATAAGAACCTCCATCTTCAACAGCTGCAACGATGCTACTGTGAGAACGCGGGAGGTGCCGTTAGTGCATGCGCCATGCTACGTCATTGCTCTATCACGTACGCACAGTCGCTTCGCGCAATATAAGGTTTGCTAGCTGTGGGACGAGTGGGAAACTTACTTTGTGGACGCACCTCGTACAATTCAGTTTGAACTTCGGTGGGAACAGATAAGTTTGACTCTGGATTCAGAAATCAAGATCAGTTCATGTGTGGTGTTTCTCTCGTGAAGCTTCTGGGTCTACTAGCTGGAATATTTAATGAGAATGCTGAGACTACGGGATTCTCAGTAACTACAAAAGTCTCCTCGATCATACCTCGCTAGGTTAGTCCCAAAAACCGCTGAATGCACCCATCTGTCTAGTTGGCTTAAAATGTCTTCCATTCCATACAGATTTCACTGCGTAGTTCACAAATTTTGAGTAAAGTGCACCCAAATCCTGTGCCATTTTTCGTTGACGTCACTAGTGTTATTTACTGAAAGTTTGTTTGAAGTGACCGCCATTTGTAGTCCGTGGCATTAAAATTTCAGTGATTAATTGGTGGTGTAAGAGTTGGCAGATTACATAACGTGTTTATAAACTGTGATTAACTTTAAGATGAACTGATTTTATATAATTTGTACCAGATCTTAAATTCATAATATGAGTAATCGTGTGCTCTTAATGTAGGCAGTAAAGTACAGGTTAGGTTATGGACTGCGGACAGACCTGCTTTGAATTGTTGCAGAATAATGGGATTAAACATGGTTAAAATAGAACAGATATTTGAAGTAATGAGCAAATTTTGTCCTGATTTGGATAGTGAAAGAATTATTGAATGGAAGTGAAAATTGGCTAAATTTATGGAATTTAATAATATTAATAATAATTTGTTTTGCAATATGATGCAGTAAATAAAAATGAACAATTTGTTAAAAATAATTTGGCATCCCTCGTACGTAATTCTGGACAATTGAAATTGTGGAATTTTGGTTTATATTACAATGGTCTGTCCCCATGACAGATTACATACCGCACGTAGTGGATGTAATCACGTTTGAAAAATTTTGAAATCAAGATGTATTTATAGTAATCTTGTATTATGCATTGCGTTTCTTGCTTATATATTTTCAACAAATTTATTATTTATTGTGTCTGCTGTTCTGCTATGGTCTCACCAGCGTTTAGAGTAGACTTGCTCCTTTGGTAACTATTACAATCTAGAGTAAATATTTCTGATGCCAAGGTACAGTGCTCGCCACAAGATTTAGTACACAACGGTGCTTTGAGACTCGCCTCTACTCTTACCGCAAGCCTGAAATGGTAGGTTTCTGCCTCTTCGGATAATTTCTGCATTTAATAAAAGCAAGTTTTTCTGTAAAGAAACTGAATTTGTTTTACTATTTTCCTACAAAAATGAAATTTCATTGCAAATACAGAAACAGGCACATTCTTCTTACTCTACTCTTAATGCTGGATCCGTCATAATTACAATGCTTCGTTGCTTCCAGAGATTATGTAACTATTATGTGTGTATTTCATCCTTTAATTTTGTCAAAACTGTTTTCAGTTATACAACACTGTAATCGGTGAACGATTCAAATAAAATGGAATGCCAGTAGGGATAGTCAATATATTTTATTATAGTTTGTTTAAAAGCGCTTTTTCAGTAGCTCGGACTACGTAGCGTCGAAAGAGATGATAATAGTGAACAATGAATTGGAAAGGAATAGTGAAATCACTGCTCATTACTACGTTTTGTCCGGTTAAAGTTTTATAATTGGAAAACACTGAGCTTGAATTCAACAGCTTCAACTCGTTTTATAACTGAACGTCAGTGTAGAGTGATTATCACTCCTGCTTCATGTTCAGGAGGTCCCAGGTTCAAATCTTGACCCGGAGACCGGCTATCCTGAGTCTTTCTTGGTGGTTTTCCTCAGTCTTTCCAGGCAAATGCTGGGATAGTACCTTAAATTAGGCCACGACTGCTTCTTTCTAATTCATTATTCAACATCAACCCCTCATTTGGCACTATATAGTCTGAGCTGCTGAAAAAGCATCATTAAATAAACCACAAATAAATAAATAAATAACCTCAATTTACGCTACATAAGGGCAATACTGCATTATATAACGGTGACATTTTGCTTTGTGCATTGCATTGATATGTGCCTGCAGTTGAAATTTTTGTTTTATTTTGTTACACAGACTTCGGCCCAAAATATATTTTGTAATTTGTATATTAGGAGTAATATCGTGTAATACGTGTAGATTACGTTCTGCGGCTTTTCTTACGTACCATGTTTTTATGTTGCGCTCTTTCTCATTTGATTCGCTATTGAGCATAAAAATCTAGCAGACGATGATGATGGTGTTCTGGGTTTTGGTGTCATTATAGGCTTACTGGTAGATGCCAGCGTTTAAGAGGAACATGCTGTCCCCACCTTCTCCAGAATGTTGGCATCTACCAACAAGTCACACTGTGCCAGACCTCAGAAAATCGTCATCCTTTGGTTTTATAAGCAGATCTTCCTCGTGACCGAGCGTTTTTCTGTCAGCTCATGAGAGACACGTGTTCGTGTATTCCTTTCATTTGAATTCGTTATATGGTAAGCTGATTTTTAATAATTTTAGTGAATATGAAAATAAATTTTATCTGTGTAATACAGCATATGATGCAAATGGTGAGATGTTTGAAACATAAATGAATTCGTGTATCAAAAATATTGTTCCATTTCTGATTTTCCGCTTATAGCCTGAAGGTGTGGCAGGTTCTGTGCTAAAATTTTGGGTGCATCTTAGAGTCAAAAAAATAATGGTACATTCTGCTGTACTGTACATGTGCATTAAAAATCCATAATATTAATGGAAACTAATGATTTTCTATGGACAGATTTCTGCCTTACTTGAACTTTGCAGTCAAGAGTATTTTACTGTACCTGTTAACGTATTCCTTACAATTTATGAAGGAGCGTCGTTTTGCGTCCTCTGACGATGTGAAAACATCAGTCTTTTGTTTAACATGATTTAAATTTTGTGTTATATTGCACTTATTTTATTGTGGTTTTATACGATGTGACGTGTTGTGTGTTGATCGTTTTGTTGACAGTCCGTGTACACAGCAATTTTTTTATTATAGTTTCACTGTTTATTAAGAATCCACTATATGCTTCGACATTAATTGGTCATCTTAAGGTGGTTCTCGTCAAGTGTTCGAAGCTGATAGATATGACCGTTGATTTTATATGCATATTTTCTGTTGTCGATTCTTAATGAACACTGAAAGTTCAATAAAAAATTGTTGTGTAGACAGACTGTCAATGAAAGTTTCTTCATTATGTTTGCCATATGCTATGTAGTTGTATTTCTTCCTAGTTAAAGGCGAACAGATTAATTGCTGTAATTCTCTAACATAAAACTGTGTACTTTCTTGACTCCAGTAATTTCTTTAGTAAGTAATAATCTGGTGGTGGTATGTGAAATATTTTGCGTGTCCAGTTATTAAAGCAGTGCTCAAAAGAAAAATAATGGTGCTCTGTTGTTTACATTCCCTCCAAACATGTCAGCGAGGATATCGAACTTGTTGCTTCAGGTTGGTATTCAGAAAATCGCGCACATTTCCATGTACATACAATTTTCTAGGGTACAGAAGCATATGATACAGGAATGAAGCAAACGTCTGTGCGCGTGCGAATGCACGTTCAATATACTTCAATCTCATGTGCGTGCGGTAGATGAACCACAAATTTGTCAGCTATGTCTCGCAACGTCACCTCAGAAACGGCGTCAGTCTTGACTTGCAACTCCTCAACGGAGCGTGGGTCGATGCGATATTTTGACAGTGGTACAACCTTTCATTTTTTGCACATTTAGAGTTGTGTGTTTTTCCTGGACACCCTGAACGTTTATAAAACTGTGACGCCGCGGATCGTAACAGATAAGAAGGTGTTTGATGGAGGGGATTGTTTTATTAAACTTTGTTGACTGTGGCAATGTGTCACGCTACCATACAGCCAGACCATTGACCCCAGGGTTAAAGTCAAGTCCGATACTTTGGTCCTGTTAGGTCCAAACTTTTGTGTCGAGTTCCCATATTATATTTAAATTTGCACACCATCAGATACAAGTGCTTCTTGTCTGAAATGTCATCATCGCCTTGCCAAATTATCTGCATGAGACGGAATGCAATACAAGAGATCCGGAAAGAAATTGGTGGTGATGAGAGTTTTTTTCATTGGCAACCAAAATAAATTACAGTTGTCGCCCATTTTGTATGGTTAGCCTGGTTATAAGTTGCACGTGTTACTCGTGAAATCACGTCAGTGAATGGCTCAATAGATTTTCATGATAGTTGTTAATGAGAAGTTTTAATAACATTTGCGAACCTATTCTAATTTTGGCCAGAATTTAACAATACTGAGCACATTACATAAAGACTTTCAGTTCAATGCTGTGCTAAGGTAGATGCAAGACTGTCGAGCATGGTGCAGTGCAGAAGTGTTCGACGACACCCAGCACACTCTGGACATGAGCTTTTATCTCTTTCTGCAAATACAAAATGGCTTTGAAGATGAACAAAATCTAATATGCATTAGGACAATGTCTTATCGACATGGAATCAGTTAGAAAGTGGACTTATGGCAATAATTTTGGTGTGAACTCCATAATTTGATGTTTTGAAAGGTCAGGGAACTCCCCAGCTGGAGACGGGTGCAAAAAAAACATAATTATGAACCTGTGTGTGTGTGTTCCTTGTCACTGCATCTAGAATCAAGGTCAGAATCCTTGTTCTTTGCTGCAGTTAATACCTAGACACAGGAATGTGTACATACACACTGTAGTGGTGATTCCTCTGATGAGACAGATGCAAGTATGTCATTTTATTTTGTCTATCATGCAGTTATCACACATGGGAAATTTATGAAATGCCCCTCATGCATACTAAAACTGTATTAAAATTCCAATAACATTTTTTTTTAAATATGTTGCAAAACCCTAACCTGAGAGTATAAGAAAATGTATGTAAATAAATTGGCTATGAAAGGGTTTAATATCAATTATAATCTTTGCTATTTGTAATTGAAAGTTTAATATGAACTACAATTGCATTCTGATAACTTCTGGCAAAGGTCAATGCAAATTGGATCTGGAACTAGTAGCATGGTTAGTAAAGTGACTGGTTAAAGGCTGGACTGGACTGGCTTGTGGTTTTTCTGGCCTAAAACTACCAGAGAGTGAAGTTGACCACTCCCATGTAATGCTGACCTTTATCCTGTGTCAGGATGAAAGATTATAAGTTCATTTACATTCAAGGCAATGGTGTCTTTATAACTTTCTTAGATTAACCTGTTTCATCTACTTCACAGGAAACACTGCACTGTGCTCCTGAAGAAAAAAAAACAATATAATTCTACCATTGTTTCGTCATTCTGCTACAGTCTTTTGTCCTCTATGATTTCAGAAGTTGGCTAAATTCTTTGGCAACCATACATTTTCAGTTTAGTTCTTACCTCCATGACTAGTTGTTTAAGAGATATTTTAATAAATGTTCATTTGAACTCGAAGATTTATCAGTCATCACATAACCTTACAATGTGATGATTTGGATATTCAATCCACAATAATTCGACTCGAGAATCGCAGGACGAATTTTGTTAAAAATTTCTACAGACGTTTTGCCACTGGAAACTACCCGAACTCATGCCTTTTAATTTCCTTTAATCAGTAATACCAACATGGTGTGGTGGGAATGAACTAGCGTAACTTAATAGTCATACAGTGACGAGTGTGTGGTAATATAACTTTGAAAAATACACATTTTTGGTACAGTAATTCTTTGTTTGTTTGTTTTTTTTACAACCAACGTGCATGGTTACGTGGTGAGAAACAAACTTCTCATTTCATTAAAGACTCATTCAACATAACCTGTTGCTCTCATAGGCTAGATAACCAGTTTTTGTAGTAATAAGTTTTATACAGTATAAAACAACAATATGGCGGTTGTATGAAACAAAACCTAATTCAGTTCGATCAGGATTCGATCCCATGACCACAGACACATGTGTTCAGTGCTAACACGCGTTTTTACGTTGTGATTGGTTTACATTACCATCTAAAGCAGACATTAAGCACACATGATTTGCACAGTTACTGAATATAGTAGCTCATGTAATGTAACACGTTTTTCTCACGTTTCAACATGTATCGTTAGGTATAGGCTTTCATTATAAACGCATTAGAAACAAAGTCAACGCCCTCTATAAGAAAGTATGTGCTGAGCTCTCAACAGTTATCGATAAACAAATGAATCAATACAGAAGAAAGTGATCTATATTAAAGACGTGTGCTCGTGTGTTTTAGTGATGATAGTGAACACTACGTAAATTGGATTACAGTTCGCATCAGTTTTTCTTCTGAGTGAGAAGATTATAAGGTAAGAATTAATTAATCGTTTGCGATGTATTGCCAAGTAATAACCTCCATTAATGTGTAAGACTGGATAAAAGACAACAATGTTTCGAACTGCAATAGAAATTTAATACGCAGTCTTAAATTAGCTGATGATGACAAGAAAAATGTTACAGACTGTGAACCTACTGATTATCATCACCATTATGTTAATATATATTTTCATGTTAGAAAATGTTGTGTGCATAACACTGATAAAATTAAAAATTTGTAACTTTTAAAAAGATTTAGTTCAATAACGGCATAATTGATGTACCTGAAATCCATTGTTACGTCACAGGCAAACTTTGAGCGAGTATGGACCTTTTACATACCAATGCAGTTCTGAATCCCTCGCTAGAATTTATTTTCAAAAGCCAGTCTTCCTTTAAACATAACGCTACGAGATTTTATGAGTGTTTGATGACTGTGTCTAAGCACTTCCATCTGTTGGCATCCAGGTGTAACCTGTGCAAATGTTTTTGATTATATCCGCTAGAGTCGTTACTAGCATTTATCAGTTAAATTTAATTGATTTATATATGATAATTCGGTATGTGTAAATAGATTTAAATACATTTTTAACTCAGTTTTATAGCTTTTTTTTTTCGAGATATGTTTATCAAATACTAAAGCTGACACCACAAATGAGATGGCTCAGTTTATGATTCGCTTTGCACATTTTTGTGTATTATCTTTGAAAAGCTTTAAACTCGCTTTCAGGTAAGAAAAAATCTCACCATACTCTTTGACAAAATGACTGTCTGGAAGAATAGTCTTTGCTATTGAGAAAGGAAATCGTATCTTTTGTCTGAGTGACGTCTTAGAATTGTGTGAGAAGTTGAAATTGAACAAATTATTATCCTGAAAATTATTCTACTTACCTGTGAGTGGAAAAAAGCTTCTGACGTCACAGAATAATCCACCACGGCTTTTAAGGAGATACGATCTTATTGTTGGTAAGGAAAACGTTGCAACAGTTCAGACGAAGGTTATGGAGATTAAATACAGGAAAATAAAACGCCTATTACAGATTTTATGAATGTTTTTAATGACAATACAATTAAAGTATAACAAAATTATGGAGTTCATACCATTTACAAAATATTATTCTGATTACAATTTCAATTTGACGGTGGATAAAACTCAGATGGTATCAAATATTTGGAATTCAAACTTCCTTACTTCTATCCAGCACTGAAGAAAAACCATTTTTGCATATGACACTGAAAAATATCTATACGTACAGGCCTACTGGTATAATATGATATTTCTTCAACACATGTATAAAATAGATTATCATATTTATTTGGTATCTTATACAGTACTGTTTCAAGAAAAATTACACTGTTATTTGCTGTAAAAGAATTCAAATCATACTTCGTAATAAAAAATATGTTTGTGAATAGCATCTTGTTATACGCTGTACCAACGGGGCTCCGGAGAAGGGGGGGGTTTCCCCCAAAAGATTATTTTAAAATTACAAAATACGCGTGATTTTATGACAAATAGAACAGAAGTATCGATAAGTAAAATCGATGTAGCAGCTTCCGGTCGATTTCGCGTCGTGTTTTATTGAAAAAGGGGCCAAGCCCAAACAGGACTCTCTTCAAAAAATGACTACAAGAAACTTTTTGAGCGTCTAATTCACACTGTATGTATATGTCTTTTACACGAGATGTTGGAAATAATTGAGATAACTGGGTTTGGCGATTCGACTGTTAAATATTCTGAAGGATAATAATAGTTATATTTTAAATTTGTTTATTTCATCTGCAGTTTTCTACTGTAGCCAAATGCAGGAATATATATTAAATTAATTATGATACATAATTTATTTTTTTCAAAGAAACGTGAGGTTTCGTATGAAATATGAATGATTTATTGCATTTTTAGTGTTTTGTTATCGCGTGCCACCGCATAATTTCGTAATGACTTTCTGATTCTCTAACCACAATATGTAGTTTCTTTATCAAGACAGGAACGAATAATTTTAACAACGTTTCGCTAACAAAGGAACAGATGTACAGAGACCAGTAGTAGATGGCGTATACATTGAAGCATCTGAACACGTTGAAAGGGAATTTTTTTAAAAAAAGAACCCAAGTTGACACTAATAAACTCAGCGATAAGAGTTACCGATTCTTTTATGTTTTTCAAAGGCTGCGCGCGCAGGATCTGAGACATTTGTGAATAGAGAAATTTACCTGTGTTAATTATAATGACGTTGAGCTTTGTGGGGGGGGGGTCGATTTAAACCCCCAGATAACGCGGAAAAGATGTCTCGTTTTACGCGGATTACAATTTATGAGCAATTATAGTGAACTGGCAGATTAAATTACTCTGTGAAATGAATTCATAATATTTTATTTATTTTTACTATTGTCGAGGTTTTATAAACAATTCATATTTCATAAATTCTTTCCTACATAGCAATTATTTTTATTGTCCACGTATGAATTTTGGCTACATCAGAGACACACGAAATGAACAACAGAACTTTCGGTACGTCGATCTTAAAAAAATAAAATATATAAAAGATTACTTCATAGAAATGTTTGTGTCCGGCCACGAGTTGAGAGACTTTCATAGACTTATTTTCACTGGGATGGGAAACTTCTTCGATTTACAATCCTGGAAACAGTATTTTAATGATACTTTTTTTATAATTTCTTTATACGAGCGGTGAATAACATTTCTCAAGCAATATATCTGAAACGGGAATACGTGAATGATTTTTCTGTTACTGATGTAAATAAATCACCTTCCTGACATGATCTGAGGAAAAAGATGACATATTTCGAAATAAAAATCTCCAGTTGCAACTTAAATATATTTCTCGCTGATAAGGTGTAATTAAATTGATATGAAATGAATAAATCGTCCTGAATAGGACCTTGGAAATATAATTGTTTTCTAGCTCCAATTAGCATAGCAGTTATTTAATTATAATTGTAATAGACACTCGATTTAACACGTAGTTTTCAAAATGGCTGGAATGCGAGGTTGCTCGCACATCCGCTAGGTGTCACTAGTAGAAACGACCCAGGGATAAGATGCGATCTGTGTGACATAAACTCGCCGTAAATGGAACAAGGCCCTTTTCATAATGACTAATTCAGTTTCTGTGATCGAGTTGTTCGTAAGAATTCAAAATTTCCCTCGTCGCCATTGGTACTGCGTCTTGACTATTGTTAAATTCCTGTGACGTCACTTTAAAACGACAAAATACCCTGTAATTTGTTATTGTAAATGTACTAATTAGCACAATAATTGATTGTTTATAGTGGATGGAACTGTGGAGAGACTGTATTAATGATATGGATTGGACATGATCAACATATATTAGAACTTGTATTAACAATAACTATGGATTATATTAGGCCATTATTCTTGTAATCTATCCTTTCAGAACGTAGCTTGGCTAATTCTTTGCACAAACATGGCGTTTGAATAATCCTGTTGAGCTGCGAAACATCGTAACTCACGTCACTGTAGGATCATTTGTTAATATAAATAAATATCATTGTGTTCCAGGCACATCACATTGTTTAATACACCAGTAAATTGAGCATATGAATTTGTTATCTCGTGTTGTGAAATGGCTTAAATCTACGTACGCACATACACACACATATATATAGTTATATGCACACTTTTTTGTATTATTAAAAGTGGAATTAGGAACAACTACGATGCTTAGTAACTTTATTTAGTGGCAGGTATTTCGAGTTCTGTAACACTTAGGAACATTTCGGTGTGAACGTGTTTTAACAATGTTGAAATAGGAACAGCTGTCAAAAACATTTAATTACAAGTTTGGTTGCAAGAACAGTAGAACAGACGTACGTATTCTTCGCAATAATTGGAGGGTTATAACAGCGACTCACGGTGAAGGGGGGAAATGTTTAACAACGCAGGATAACAGTTTCAAGGTTATGTGAGGTTAGGTTAGGTTACGTTATTTTAGGTTAGGTTATTTTAGGTTATGTGAAGTTAGGTTAGGTTAGGTTATTTTAGGTTATGTGAAGTTAGGTTAGGTTATGTTATTTTAGTTTATGTGAGGTGAAGTTAGATTAGGTTATTTTAGGTTATGATGGGTTAGGTTAAGTTAGGTTATTTTAGGTTATGTGAGGGGAGGTTAGGTTAGGTTAGGTTATTTTAGGTTATGTGAGGTTAGGTT